ACATAGGAAAATCGATATCGAACGTTGGCGTTTTTATCGTTTTCATTTAAATTTTATACTATGGCTTGAGTTTAATGAGTTTAAATTTGTTTCACATATATGAAAGTTCGATATATAGAGGGAACATCAAAAGATCAGTGCAATAACAATTTTTATCAAGAATTATTAAAGAAATTATTAAGCATAATTTTGGGTTAATGAAGTTAAAAGTTGAAAATTTAATAAAGTGAAATAAGATGAAATATGAATAATGAAGGCTTTTTACAGGATGACATCTGGAAATGCTCTAAACGAACTGGAATCCTTCCAGAAGCGATATCAGGTTATCACTATTGAAGTGTCATTGATAAAATGTCTTGTGATCATTATGATGATAATAATAGTGATAATGCATATAGCAAGTTATAATTTAAAAAAAAACTTGATGACGATATATTTTAAGGACTAAATAATCTTAGAAACATATATTGATGAATATTTTTTTAATCGAATTTAATAAGCAAACATATTAGAAAAATTTTAGCCCTTTAATCTTTGACCGGAAAACTATGAAATCATTTCATTTCTTGTTATAAATCTTTCAACAACTCTCAGCTATTTCTAAATTCAAAAGAGGAAAAAAAATTACTAAAAAATAATTTGAAATTTTAAGTCAGTAAAAAATCAGACTTTTCTTCTTAAAAAACTATCCTAAATTTAACATTTTCCAGCATTTCAAATTTATGCAGAACACTTTTATGAATCATTTCAATTCGTTCATTCATTTTGATTTTCGATAAAATTATTTCAAAAAGAAAAAAAGCTTGCAGATTTTAAAAAAGGCAGCAAATATCATCGAATTTATTTTCAAATATATTGCATTCTACGTGCAAACAGTTTGTTTAATTGAATTATCATGCAAGCTATATGCATATTTACAAAATTTGAAATGGAATTGGTTTGATACGATATTATTTATTGCTACTGTGAGTCAAATCATTTTATATATGCTATCATTTATAGTACCAGCTTATCTCAACTATGAAAAGGTTTCCTGTTTATTTATGATCTTCATAGATTTTTGATTCACTTGAATGAGCTAGCGGCCAATAAAATTTTTTAAACTATATGATAATTGTATTTGAGAATTATTGAAAGATTTAATATTTTATCCTTTACCAATTTTTGTTATAAATTTTTTACTTAATTTGCAAATATTTTTATACACAAATATGATAATGGTATTTTACATGGATAGTTCCCCGAAATTTTTTATTCCCTAGAAAATTTTGTACATTTTTGTTAAATTTGAAAGATAATTATTAATATTCTTTGGGAGTTAAAATCATTGAATATTTTAAAGTGACGATGATGAACCAATGTTGCGAATGAATTAATTCATTAACATCATTGTAAAATCAAAAAATGATTTCATTTTTATTGCTATCATTCCATCTTTTGATAGGAAATTTAGGCATAATTATATTTAACACTTTCAAATAAGCTATGGGATGAATCCTCAAAAGATTCTCACAATTGTTTTGTTGTGTATTTGTTGTGATTAGATATGAATGGATAACAGATGTTAATAACATCTGTTTATCAATTTTTTAAAATTACTTTTAATTCGTTTTTTTCAGCATTTTTACTATTAATTTATCAAATTTGATCAAAGTTTGTTATATTATCATGATATCGTCCAAATATTGGGTATACAGTGAAATACTTTATAGAATAAAAAGATATCAGAAATATGTCCGGAAATGTTTGAAAAACAAATGCAAAAAGATTCGAATGTTATATTAGCAGTTAGTTTCGTGGAAAACTGTTTTATTTTTTTCTCTTTTTTTTTTGAGCTAAAAAGAGATGGATTAAAGTTGCAGAAAAAAAAAACAGAAAGATTTTTGGCAAATTCATTTTTCATCTTTTGTATAACGGCAAATATTAATAAAAAGTATCTCAAGTAATTTAACTTTGAACATTTTATATAGTTTAATTGTGAATGATTTCGGTAACACTTTGAAATCAATGTAGACATATTATAAAATTAAATAGAGTGCAAAAAATTAACATAATTTAAGGTCATAATAAAGGACAAACTTTTCTCTTTTATTGCAGATTGTTATTCGGTTTATCTCTTATAAACTTTCATACTTATAGACTAAAGTACTGATGTTTATGTATCAACTTGAAACAATGCCTATAATTTTTACTTCTGGTGGATTTTTTATTGTCAAACGTTCACTTCTTCCTACAGTAAGTTTTCTTCTTGCTTCTTTTTTACATTTGATTCATTCATTTAATCACCTATATGATGATGATGATGATGAAACATGCAAATTTAGAAAAAGTTTTTACTTGACTTTAGACTCCGAAAAAAAAAAATTTGATTCTACAACTATTCCATTAAGCTGGTTTCGTTCATGCTGACATATGTTTTTCTGATGCTTCAACTCGGACAAACATCACGATGTGCGATGGGTAACATGTCTCCCGATACTTTTTAAAATTATACTACAACTTTCTCGAGTAGATATTTTAGATACTCCATTTATATCATTAATTTCTTCATAACTTGAAAGATTGCAAAATATGGAAGTAAAAATGAAACACGGTATGCGCAAAAGCGACGGAAGTATGGATGAAGAAACTTCCAACTTTCTTCTTTTAATCCATGAAATTGATATAGTTAGTGAATCATCACTTGATAAATTCTTTTATATCCAAGAATAGTTTGAGATATAACTAACTGCTTCTCTTTTCACTCTGCAATATGCTTATTCCTGCCCTTTTGCTAATTATTGCAACGGAGAAACCATTAATATCACCAAAAAATTAATAAAGGAAAATCTAGCTCCAGAATTTACAAATCGCACAATGATGAGAACATGAAAAATTTCTAATCCTGTTTCAGTTAAAAGGAAGTCATATAGAACACTCATTTCCTTTGTAGAAAATGATTAAAACCCTCATAAAACTTATCCCTGAAAATTTGTTTTTGTTGACAATTTGCGATGTGTTATTCGGAAATGTATTCAACTAATTGGACATGTAATTGTTCCTTCTCTATTTACTGCTTCATACAAACAGTGAAAATACGAGCTAGAAAGGGAAATTATTGATAAAATGCGAAGAATATGTTGCATAACTTTAAAGTCAGCCATTTTATGATCAGGATAGTTTTGGAAAATCACAATGAGAGAAAAAAAAGCATTTATATTATTTATTGAACTGTTTTATAAGAAAACAGGATACAGAAAATGTAAAAACTTTGCTTAATTCCAAATCTTTTCAAAATTAAATCTTCTTTACATTTTGTTACAGGAAGGAAGGAAGAGAGAGAGAGAGAGAGAGAGAGAGAGAGAGAGAGAGAGAGAGAGAGAGAGAGAGAGAGAGGATGAGTGAAATGCATTACCATTTAAAGAACAGTCTAAAAAACTCTACATTTGACAAATTTAGAATTTTCTTCCAAAAGCAAAACTTTATAAGGCATTAATTTGAAAAAGAACCGCTCCTATCATTCAAAACTAATTAGTACTTCGAGGGAGAAGTTCAGATTATGGCTGTACTCTGTAATTCGGAAATGTCCATTGATAGGTGTGTCATACAATTAGAAATTATAACAAGTTCGTGGCAAAAATTATGTTCTTGAACGTAAGAAAATAGAAAAATAATTATGTAAGAGTGCAAAAAATTGTATCTGATATACGCAAAATATGCTTTACATGAAGAAAACTCTGCCTTGTATTTAAGTCTAAATGCAAACCCCGCTCACTCAAAACTCTCAGCAATTACAACCACTAGATGGCTGTGCTGTTTCCCGATGATCCAAACGAATCTGATCTGGAAATTCCGGAAAATCTTGCACATCTTGCGCTTCGCGCTTTAAAGCATCACGAGCAATTTCAATAAATGCTTGCTCTACGTTTACAGCTTCTTTAGCCGATACCTGAAATACGATAAAAATCAAGCACATAAGAAACTCGTAAATAACTGAAACTCTACCTATTGTTTATGCGTAACTAGGCCAGAAGCTATATCATTCACCTTCAAATTCTACCAATCATCCTAAAATTTAAAAAAGACGATTTTAAGTGACCGAGATTAATATCATTAACTACCAGAGATAATAATTTGCATTAATCACTTGAGAAAAGAAAACTTCAGCTTCAACTTTTATCGAATTATATGAAAAGGTTCTCGGTTTCTTATTCTTCAAAAAGCATCGAGTGCCTAACCTCATAATATTTGATATTGTTTTTTGTCTGGCACCATGCTTGGGCCCTTTTGGCACCAACGGCACGTTTAGCTTCTAGATCAATTTTATTACCCAATAATACGAATGGAAAATGTTCAGGATCGCGTGGACTGAAAATCAAATAACATTATTAGATCTTCACGTTTTGCTCAAAGCTTTCTCACTGATTCATCAGTTCAGTATACTGTTTGGCTACAAAAATAAATTCTGCGCTACCCTTCAAAATAATGTTTGAAAACTAACACTTATCTCATTAAAGTCTGACCTCACCAATGAAATACCAAACAAAAATTGTCTATACACTTATGAGGTCTAGACGGATTCAATACATTAGGAGCAAACCTTGCTTGAATCAAAAATTCGTCTCTCCACGATTCAAGACTTCTAAAAGAACTGGCATTAGTGATATCATATGTAAGCACACAACAATCCGCTCCTCTATAGAAGGCAACACCCAACGATTGAAAACGTTCCTGTCCAGCTGTATCCCAAATCTGAAATAAGCAGCTTTTGATATTACAATTCTAATTCATATTTACTAATTTTTAAATTTACAAATCAAAAATTTAACTCATATATCTTATACAACACTGGTGACCTATGACTAAAAATCATGAAAGTGATAAAAATTACAAGGGAAAGTTACTATTCGTATGATGATGTTTTACATGGATGAAAAACAGATTCTTCCTTAAAACAGATATCAATATATCCAGATAAAATAAAACTTTCGCTCACTGACAATCCTGGATTACATAATTACTTATAAAAGGTGAAACAATAACATAGTCACTCACCTATAATAAGTTTAAAAACACCTAAAAGCTCCCATCATCCCACCAAGCACTCCTTCAGAAATGAAAGGAAAGTATTTCAAACATCTATGCTTATTCATTTACAACTGTGCTTGAGGAAATTAGATCTCGGAATAAAAAATTAACAAAACGCTAAACAACCTGCATAGTAACAGTTCGATCACCAACTGATATATCTTTTGTTAGAAAATCAGCACCAATTGTCGCCTTATACTGATTACTGAATTTCTTGTTTACATACTGGTTCATTAGTGATGTTTTCCCAACACCCGAATCACCTAGTATGATTACTTTGAGGAGAGCTTTTTTGCGACCACCGCCAGGTGCTGACATTGTGGTGAATTCACGTAAGCAAACTGGAATATCTGTGAAGTATTAATAAAAAATTTTAAGTTTTATTTTTAAACGATAAGACGGACTGAAAGTAAAGTTCATGAAATGTTAAGCAAAGCCGCAGCACAAAGCTCCAAGCTTTTATTTTATTAATGAATCCCCAGAATCATGTTTTCCTCATTCAATGATTAAAAGTTTGAAAAGCTCGGTAAAATATTCTTAACAAAATGAAAACAGCAATTCTTTAGTGTGGAAAAATGAAACCTGAATCATGTAGAAAGATAATCAAACAATAGCAATATGCATCCACCACAACAACATTCAATGGAACTCATAAATAAGTTCCATTGAATCAATACAAATTCAGCTACAAGAGAAACCGTGGAAACTTAAAACTTTATTGTTTCAATAGGTGATGAATAAGAATATGAGTTACTGAGCAATAATCACTACAGCTTTATCTCCTTACAGCGTGTTTTCTCTGCTGTAAAAGGAAGTTTATATAATAAGCATTAATCAGCAATTATGCATAAATGATCTTCGATTCCTAAAACTTTATATGTATTATTTCATTCCTAATCAACCAGCTCTGACAAATGTGCACTCAGAGTATTTGTTGCGCTTGTCGCATAGCCTTATTTTGTTCATAGAACTTTAACGCTTGAAAGCCTGAAATAAACTAGAAATATGTCGCATAATCGACAACCAAATATAAATCAAAAACACATCGTTTGCTAAATTACAAGAGAAAGCAATGAAGGATACCTTATCCTTTTCATTCCCAATAAATAACAACAAAAATCACGTTATTCTCATAAATACAATCCAAGAGATCGTATTTAATATCAATTAAGCAATAACATGAGCCATCACTGACATCCAGGAATTTCCCTCAGAAAAGTTTAATATATTAAAAGTAGTTTTTCTCAATATAGCCAAGTTCAGTTTAATGTCACAGGGAGAAGTGACAGTAAAATAATTGAATAGTACTGCTCATTTTCGTAACAAACAATTTCATAACAACTGAGGAAGAAAGTACGCGAATTTATGCTGTGTTAATTCACATAGGAAATTTTGATATATTCGAATCTGTTATCATAGTAAATCTTCGAACTACTGGTCAATAGATATAAAGATAACTGCATCTGCTAATAAAGAATGAAGCTTAGTTGCTTGATTTTTGCACTAAAATTCTGCACAACTGATAAAGCAAGAAAATCAGAAATTATGTGCCATTATAACAAGAAAAAAAGATGTCGAAACATTGTGAATCTAAGTGAGAAGAAAAAAGATGGCACGAAATAAGATCGTTCTGCTTATTTTAAACAGAGAATATGACAGTGGTGTGAATCAGAACAGCCAATGTGTATGGAACGCGCAACAGCTGAATACACAAAAAGAGATGAAGATAGTGCAGGAGATGGTGCACGACTTAATGCTATTTGAGAGATTTCTGCAATAAGAAAAACCAAACGTTTTAGGTATTCGAGACAAAAAAGTTTGAGAAAAGATCAAAATTCTAAATTCACTGACGTATTCCAGTTCCGAATAAATTGATTGGCAAATGCCCAGAAAAAAATTAGAAATTAAAATAGCAAGAAGTTCATGCGATCTTTGATCTCTATAATAATGTGTCACGCATTAAGACCCAGAAAGACAAAGATCAACAAACTATGATTTTTTTTTAATACAACGCCAAAGCGATCAGAAAAGAGAACAAACTTTTTGAAATTACAAAGGTTCAACATAATCTTAAGGTACAATTGTCTAGAAAATGCAGCTAAAGCAGCCTCGGAATACAGTTGGAATAGAGTCAAACAGGAAATCTGAGATCTATAAGATGAACAGAGTCTTAGAAATTGTCATGTATGAAAGTATATATGCAAGAAATGCCATGCAGCTAATACGTTTTCCAATTAATAGAATTTCATTTGAAGTATATATTAAAGTGCAAATAATTAAATCATGCGAGCTGTAAACTTTGATTGTCTAACCCGGAAAACAACAGAATATGTACTTAATAACAAAATCTATAACCACCACTTCTATTGCTACAAAAGACTCTATCTCCTTCCATTCCCCCCTAACACCAAAACATCCGGAAGATCCCAGAACCATTTGTCAACAAAGATTACAACATTACCGTATTATGACGTTCGGCACAGGATAAAATTACTTTGAAATCTACCAACTAATGCAGCACAAAATGTGTACGGTGACAATCAGTGATGAGAATAAACGAGATCGCCTGCGTGATAAAATTTTGTGAGGCAAATAACTCGCAATTTTGATAAAATTTAACTATTATATTATCATAGTTTAGAACCTGAGAAAAAAATGATGCCATAAAGATGAATGGCATGAAATTAAAGAATTCTACGAGGTTAACAGCTCAGAGCTTTCGTATGTTACAACTACGATAATATTCTCAATATTTCTTGTAAATTATATTTATCTCTACATGTCTGATAACTCATTTTGCTACTTCACAAATTTTGATCTGATTGCGAAACTTTCTTACAATGTTATTCAAACCATTTTTTTTTTTCACTAAGCGCTATTCATCCTCAGGTTATCTTATTTATTCATCCTCAGGTTATCTTATTATTATTTTTTTGTCGCTGTAAGTGTAA